AGCACAGTTACTCCTGGAAGTTATGTAGATTGATCAAATGTAAATTGATCAAAAGTAAAGACATTTCTTATTAAAAAATGATGTTAATAAAATAAATACTTTTGAACTTTATATTCAAGGAAAAAATATTAAGGAGCACCACTGTTTCAACATTGATAATGATCAGAACTATTATTTTAGAATAATTTCTGAAGGATCATGTGAATGTAATGATGCTGAAAATTCAGCTTTGCCATCACATCAAACAGGAATAACATTACATTTCTTTGTTGGACCCATTAACTATATATTACATAACCATTTTTTATTTTTTTATTTATTTTTTTTGTAATCTAGTGATTTAAAACATACTTTATACTTTAAAAAAAGAAAAGGGACTTAGCACTTGATAGATGCAGCCCAAACAGTAAGATTATTAATAACACATTAGTATAAAAACAGCTTCACATTACATAACACAAGTGAGGGGGGCAGTAATACATTACAAATCTGTTTTAAATGTTTGGAAAATAGCTGATATATGCACTTGTGACTGTGTGGCCGCACATCAGTTCTATTTTGATGCACCAAGTTGCATCATTGCTCAGTAACCATAAACAAAACCTAAATCGCTCTAATGAAGCGGTCTACATTGGATGCCATCAGCAACACAGTTTGCAGATTACAGTTTTCTGCTTAGTGCATTGTTTTAAAATCACACCGCAAGTATAAACTGTACAGCACATCACATTTGTACCATCGACATATACAGTCAAACCACTCAGCCCTGCACTGTAATGATATTACACAGGAAATTGAAAGAAAGCAGCCCATATATGCTGCCGCCATTTAATCTTTTAACGGTATGTGACGCAGATTGGATCTGCACAAGTCTATAGATAAACATGGAGGGCTCGGTCTGTAACCGCATCCGATGAGTATCTGACAGTCAGAGGTCGCAGTCACAATGCTACATGTTTACAGCAGGTTAACATTTATAATGGCTCAACGTCTCTCATGCATATTTGTCCTGTGTTGCATGCAGATTTTTTCGTGGATGGCAGTGATAACAACGCAGGAGCTCACGCCGGCTTGATGCGTCTGATTTATTGCCCATTATTCAGAAGGAAATGAGCGTCATACACTAGTGACTGTAATAAACGATGGACTGCTCAGCTCAAGCCAACTTCAAAGGCATCTCTGCTCCCTCCTGCTCTGGCTCAAAACCGAACGGGAAGGGGAGGGCAACAGGGGAGGAGCTGTGTGCTCTGGTTTTACGGGGAATTCCCCTGACTTCCCCTGTGTTATTTCAGAGTTATCACTGTTTACTGACACTGAAATGCTCTCTGAATTCTGAATGGAGTGCAATTTGTTTTCGATCGTTTTGCAAAGTTAAAGTCACACTGTTATTTTTGCAAACGGTTTTATGCCACTGTTGCAAGGTCCGAATGAGCCCACATTAAACACAAGATGACTGATATTGTGTTTGAAAAAAGACTGTAATCCAATCAGTTTCCATTATAATCCCCCTAAACCATTGTGAAAAAACTGGAACCATCTTTTGAGTTTTCTGGCAATATGGGCGCAGGCCTCCTCGATGGACTCCTTAAACACAAAGGTCCAGATGTCTGAAGGTACGTAGGATAGCCTTTCTCAAGCCACCCACTCTCTCATTTGTCTTGCGAGATTAGACGGCTACAAAAAGTTGGCACATCTGTCCATTGAATCTCAACAGATGTCTGTGAACTGCTTCCCCCTTCTGGCTGGCGGCCATCTCACCCATTTACCCCCATGACCAAAAAAAACCCCATTAATGTTTGGCTTCCTGCAAATGAGGGTGGTCATGGGAAGAATTACTGGGCATTAATGACTCTTAGATCTGGATAATTCACACTAAAGCTAATTTCTGTAACATGGTCATTAATTTATACCTGCCTGATTGGAAATGAGCAGAAAGAGCATGAATATATTGTCCCACTCCCACTGAGAAAACCAAAGACGTCAACTAAGAGATGAGAGTGAGCCAACAGCAAATGAGATGCAGCACTGGTTTAGTCCACAGCAGAGCATCTGTTTGTCTGTTCTTCTCTATTTGAGAACAGTAACTCCCATAATGTGTTTTTCCAGGTTCATAGTTGGAGGTATTCCAGTGATGATGGGAAGAGACCATGATTAGAGATGTGCAAAATTACATCTTTTCATAATCGACTAGTCAGAAGCCCTGTGTAATTAGGCTGGTTTATGGTCATGAGCACCACAGACTTATCAGACATGTTTCTTAAAGGGATAGTTCACCCAAAAATGAAAATTAGCCCATTATTTACTCACCTTCAAGCCATCCTAGGCGTATATGACTTCCTTCTTTCAGATGAATCCAATCAGAGTTATTTTTAAAATTATCTTTGATCTTCCAAGCTGTTTAATGGCAGTCAGCGGGTGTTGCAGTTCATCAGTCCAAAAGAAATTAAATAAAGCGCATCCATCCATAATAAAAAGTGCCTCACACGGCTCCGGGGGTTGAACAAAAGCCTCCTGTAGCGAATTGATGCGTTTTTGTAAGAAATATATCCATATTCAAAACGTAATAATCACTTTAATCTAGCTTGCGCTCACAGTTGTACACGCAAGCAGCTCCGGGAGGATGACGTAAGAGTTGTGCATGCGCCGGTGAGTCTCGTGAAAACCAACCTTTGTTTACAGGAGCAAAGAAAGCAAAGGAAAACCAGTCTCCTCTTGGCTTATATCGAAATCCTCCGACATTCTTCTTTACCAATCCTCGTTTTGTACTTCTAATTTGCGCTCACTGTTGTACACTGGAAGCAGCTCCGGGAGGATGACGTAAGAGTTGTGCATGCGCCGGTGAGTCTCGTGAAAACCAACCTTTGTTTACAGGAGCAAAGAAAGCAAAGGAAAACCAGTCTCCTCTTGGCTTATATCGAAATCCTCCGACATTCTTCTTTACAAATCCTCGTTTTGTACTTATAATTCGTGACCATTGTTTTGTTTTGATCTCTCCCCTGCGCTTCCGCGTTCGTTCGTTTTTTTTAAATTCCTGCTCTGTCATTGTCTGTCAAATCTTACGGTCTTTAGAAAGCAAAATTAACAGTAATAAAATTTAAAAAAATAATTAAACCCATTTAACACTTTATGGTAGTATTTTGACTTTTTTTTAAACCAAAAGATGTATTTTCGGCCGACCCCCAAGCACCCCTTTGTGACCTCTTTAATCTACTAATTGGTGATGGATGACCAGTTGATCATCCTGTCCCGTCCAAAGCCACAATGCATTTGCAAATGTTATTTTTGAAATCGCTATGCTATATGAAGCAACCCTTATGTAGAGTTTATGTAGAATGGGTCATAGTGGGCAAATGATGTAAACACTGTAGATGCGCAACTAAATACGCCACTTTGTCTTCTGTCAAATTTGAGTTTTGCAGGTGTACTTATCACTCACGTTCTCGTTTAATTACCATTCATAAAGTGCACCCAGCTTCACTCCTGTGGCTTGATAAGGACACTAATGACTCATGTGATTTGGGACTTCACAGATCTTTTTTTGTTCAAGAGTGGCAATATATCACATGTTAATTACACAGGATCGAATGCGTTTCATGAAATTTACAATATTCCACTGGATGAGAGATATTAAAGCTCTTAATTAGCTGCCGTCCAGAAGCACCAGTGTGGCATTATCTGGAAAGCTCCATCAAGCCCAACGTGCTCTCCCAAGGTGACCAGGAAGTACCTATAATAGTAGGGTCTTGGGAAAAGTGGCATCGGAAGAGGATGGCAGCCTACCGTGATTTATCCGAAAGCCATAATGACATCATTCTCACTGCATGAGAAACATAAATTTGGCCCATCTCTAATGGAGGTCCCGGGATTCTCTGTCATCCAGAGGTCTCTCGCTTTCTCTGTCTTTCTCGCTTATGAGATTTCATGCTGCGCCTTTGGCAGGGCGGCTCAGGTTTTCCCAGGAGAGAATGAGCTGACAGGTGAGAAGATTTATTACTCCTTCCACACGTCAGCGCATTCATCGCCCATCCTTCAATCACAGGCACAAAATACCCATTTGAGATTTTACAGATGTCCTTTGCTATATAACAACACAGCCTTCTTTTGTTGTTTACAAACCTGCCGCAAGATCAGCTGGTCTGTTCCCATTGCGGAAGCGGGTTGCGTTGAGATCTCATCATATGCCATCATGCTATCGTAAAGAGACGTGTACACTTCATCCGTGAGTGATGAGAGTCATCTGTCAGGACAGATGTTCCTGTTCTGTCCATCATAGGAACACTGTGCCGTGCAGCTTTGGCGATCCCACAACAATGAACGCAGCAGCTGCCATGGAAGCTCAGAGCAACTTTTGTAAAAGCATTTTTGTGGCCTGAATCAAGGAAGTCTGTAATAATTCGAGAGAGCTAACATAAGCATTCACATTCATCTCAGGAGCCTTGGTGGTATGAATGATCATCATTGGCCATTGGATTTCATGGCAGAAAGAACTTTTAATGGATACTCTGTTTAGTGAGTGATTAGAAATGTGTCTTTTTAATTATGTATAATAGTATATAAACAAATCTACAAATTGTGAAAGTTTTCTTGACAGTAACTTTGCACACAGATAGCTGATTAGCTTGTTAGCTTAGCCAATATCTTACCCAAATATTCAAAGAAACATTTTTGTATGTGCAGCCATGTTGTTTTAAAACAATCACCTGACCTGTAAATGTCGTGTGATTAATAATCCATTGCAAAGTAGTCAGATGTTTGAATTGCAAAAATTTAGTCTATCCCTATTGTGACGTGTATATATGAGTGAAACGGCATCTCGAATGAGAAAAAAAATGTAGAGCTGAACTTAATTGTGTCTGTCAGGAATTTTTTGGATCATTGACGTTTACTAATTGTTGTGGTCTTATGTGATCATCAGGTGTTGGATGGGACGGATTATAGGAATAAAAATTGTTGTTTTTTGATTTCATGGTGACTTTAAGTAACGTTTCTTGCTCTTACAGGAAATCAGAGGAGGAGGTGGACATGGACAAAGTGACAGCTGCCATGGTGTTGACCAGCCTGTCCACTAGTCCTCTGGTGCGGAGTCCTCCTGTAAAAGTTAGTGGTAAGTAACTTTAGATCACAACCACACCGTGATCTCAGCCTTCATGAAGTCTTTTTCACGCTGTTTGCTTTGAGCTGCAGAAACGGCTTGCTCTTCACTCAGCTATTTCCTGTTTTCACTGTCACATGTGCATGAAAAACTGTCACATGAGACAACCGTGCACTAGTTCAGCTGTCATGAGACTGGCTTTTGCTGTCTTGTACTAATAACTTAAAGGGGCCATATTCTATACTTCTGTAGCATTTTATTCCCTGAAGTACTTTTTAATGTTTGGTCTTGCACCAAGAGTCATATTTTAGTTTAAACAGCCATTTATACCTTCTCTCTGACCTCCCACACTGTTTTTAATTCTGTACCTTTAAGACTTCTATATTTATGACTTTGTTTGCCATTGATTGTACTATTTTGTTCTTGTCATGTGCTGACATGCCATAAAAAATTAAAGCCTTTGTGTAAATGACCTCTGTTATGATTGGCTAACCACTTTGCATATGATATGTAAGGATGGGTGCAAAAGTATTGTGTTATTTTACCTCACAATACTTTTATTTCCGTATTCGTTATAGTAATTTTAGTACTTAAACTTGTTTTTTTCTGTTAGTTGCAAAGGCAACATTTCTTAATTTTTGTTTAAGTTTTCTAAGTTTAAATGTATCTAATATTTATATTTTATTTCAGCTTTCTATCAAATTTTTATTTAATAGTTTGTTTTAGTTGACAATAACAATACTGATCTGAATGATTTGAGTAAGAACATCCCCTCCAAGTTAATAAATAGGTGTTGATATAAAAACATGGCTGGTCATTTGCTAACGTGCTCAATTCTGTGATGACAATCATGTTTCACATCATGCGGCCCCTTTAAGACCTTGATAAAGATGTGTTATAACTTTTGAAGGGCTTTAATGGAGTACTATAATTGTGGCTTTTATGTAATATGATTAGGACTTTAACTTTCTGTTATTACAGTGTGTTACAGCACCGCTGCACACTGAGAGTTTCATAAACTAACATGACGTTTATGTCTTTTTACTCCTCATTACACTTAATTGAAAGTTTAGTGTACTATAAAGAAGTATATATGTTGGGATGATGGTAATTACTGCACTTAATGTGTCTTTATGCTTTCACCGTGTCCCATTCTCTCCATACAGAGGGTCTAAACGGCTCTTGGAAGGATGGAGGCTTTACTCCATCCAGCTACAGCAGCAGTGGATATTGGAGTTGGAGTGCACCCAGTGACCAGTCCAACCCATCCACGCCGTCCCCACCCCTGTCTGCTGACAGCTTCAAACCCTTTCGGATGCCCAGCCTCAGCGGCCCACCAGACGACAACATCGATGAGCATGATGGGAACAGCTTGCTGTTCGACGAACCCATCCCCCGCAAACGCAAGGTGAGCTGCTGTCATCTCACCTTCACTTATGGAGATTTGATCAGGCGTAACTTAGTTAATCGTTACTATAAGAATAATGGATAAAGGAGGATAATAGATTTACAACAAGCGGCACAAAAATCCACAGCCACTCTGCCGCCCATGTTTCTGGCAGGGTTTGTGATCCTTGAAGTGAAATTTAAATGCAGTTTTTTTGAAACAAAGATTTGTTTGTGAGTGCTGAATTTTAGAGGTTGATTTGCATATGCATCGGTAATAAAAACGGCTTTTGCAAATATTGAATATTTGTAAAAATAAGTACTAGTATTATAGATTTTTTTTAATATCATTGGTGGTATAAATCGTGTTTTGGTTGCAACTACAACCTAGAATTCCATACATTTTGTACTCCTTTAGAATAAGTACATTTGTCGATATATTCAGTTATATTCATTTTAAAATTATTGGCTGATTCAAATCAGGCCAAACAGAAATTGGGTTTTTAAACTCGGGTTATGAAATTTATGGCAGCTGTGTATGTGTGTATTTTTTAAGTGTGCTAAAGTTAATGTATGTGATTCAAGTGATTTGATTAATTCCAATTTATTTAGAATATAATATATATATATATATATATATATATATATATATATATACAGAATCTTCAGGACCCAAACTATGCATTTCAATTGCTATTTATTTGAACAGATATGATACAGCAACCTTCCAACCCTAATCGAAGAACTGTGCATTTTATCTGTGTATTTCAATGCAGTAGAAGAAATATGCAGTTTGAGAGCTGAAACATGATTAGATTATTTTAATTGATTGGCAGCCCTAGTAATTTGTATTTTATTCCTGAATGTGACATGACTATTTCCTGAATTTAGAGGAAGATGTGCAAAAGTTATTTATATTTGGTCTTATATTAGCCTCTTATATTAGATTATTTGAGAAGTTGTGGGCACATATTTCTTCACTTTTAATAACATACTGTCCTCTCTAGGATGTGGCTCATTTGGAGGTGCCGTAGTACATTTGTCGATATATTCAGTTATATTCATTTTAAAATTATTGGCTGATTCAAATCAGGCCAAACAGAAATTGGGTTTTTAAACTCGGGTTATGAAATTTATGGCAGCTGTGTATGTGTGTATTTTTTAAGTGTGCTAAAGTTAATGTATGTGATTCAAGTGATTTGATTAATTCCAATTTATTTAGAATATAATATATATATATATATATATATATATATATATATATACAG